ATATGTATATATAAACATATATATAATGAGAAAATTAAAAATACTTGGTACTTGTATTCTCAGAAATTGATACTACTTCTAGTGTAGTTATATTTTGTATTAAGTAGTCTGCAAGAAATATTGGATCTGTAAAATATAAAAATATAGAAATATTGGATTTGTAGAATATAAAAATTGCATACTCATAATACATTGCAAATTGTGATACATTAGAAAACTGGATATTAAGAAAGTAAGATACAAACACCATTTATAGAAATTTATTATTAATATCATGTAAGTATACAGGTGAGTTATTGCGCATAGGGATGGCAACGTAGTGGGAGCAGCCAATCACAGTTTTGGCCAAAATTATATGCGATATTCAAACATAGAGTTGCAGTAATTACTTCTCGATGTCAAAATAAATAAAAAAAAAATATTGTAAATCTATGTAAATTTATAAAGTGTAACGAATTTGACTTTTTCATTTCAAAACATCTTTCATCAAAATGTAGATTACATATATTCTTGCTATATATATATATATATATAGATACCATAACACAAATGTATCAATATAAATATTACTCTAATAGGCACATTTGTGAAAATATTGCACAAAAATGGCATCATGAATGGCGACGATTTTGCAATGATTGCACTAAGATGATTCGCCATAACGCAACAGTTTTGTCGAAATAAAATTTTGTAAATAATATTTGTCAAAAATTGCGAAAAAGTCGTTTTGCATTTCCACAGTATATACTTCCAATAGGCAAATTGTGAAAATATTGCACAAATATGACATCATGAGTGACGACGATTTCTTGCATTTCTTCATATGCAATCATTTTTCTACATATTTTAACCATCACATAGCTGAATTTCTTTTCTCAATTATTGGACAATTTCTTTGTGAAATTAATTTTGCAAATATACTGCTAAGATGATTCGCCATATCGTTATTCTTTTGCCGAAATAGTATTTGGAAAGTAATTTTGCAAACAACTACAAATATTTTAGAAAAGATCAATATTTTTACATCTATTTTCTAAAATATGTCTGTATAATTGCAAATTATAATTTTAGTGCAAGATTTTGTCACATAATTTTGTAAATGGTTTCCTATCAGAGTATATATAACTATATTATATATAATCAATAGAAATATTATATTAGGAGTACAAATTAGTTCGGTCTGTTTCCAAAAGATGGCTCCGGCTGTTGTAAATGGTTCATAGTGACAGCTGATTGTGGCGGTTTCAGAGAGGTTAGACATCTGCTAATAATATTCAATTTATATCGCTTTGAGTTTCATACAAAAACCTTGATTTTTACTGTGTTTGAACTGTCGAATTTTGTGTTAACCAAGCAGCATTTGCGGGAGGTTTTAATTTTCTGCTTTAATTGGAAGAAAAGTGCAGCTGAAGCCTATCGAATGCTTGTCGAAGTTTATGGTGACACTGCTCCAACTGATAAATCATGTAAGGAATGATTTCGACGTTTCAAGGATAGAGATTTCAGCGTTGAAGACAAGCCTTGCTCTGGACAGCCAAAAAAATTCGAAGACAAAGACTTGGAGGCATTACTCAAAGAAGATCAGAGTCAAACGCAAGAGAAGTTTGCAGAATCATTGGGAGTAACTCAACAAGCCCTTTCTGTATGATTGAGAGCCATGGGAATGATTCAAAAACAAGGAAATTGGATGCCGTATGAACTGAAACGGTGAAAGGCGATTTTTCACTTGCGAGTTGCTGGTTCAAAGGCAACAAAGAAAAGGTATTTTGCATCGGATTGTGACTGAAGATGAAAAGTGGATATTCCACAACAACCCCAAAAAGAAAAAATACTACGCTAAGCCCGGTCAATCGTTGCCATCAACCTCAACATCAAAGCCGAACATTCATAATTCGAAGATCATGCTCTCTATCTGGTGAGACCAAAAGAGTGTTGTTTACGATGAGTTGCTGAAACCTTGCAATTCCATTACAGGCGATCTGTATCGGCTACAATTGATTCGTTTGAGCCGTGCATTGCGAGAAAAACGGCCGGAATACGAGCAAAGACATGATAAAGGTATTCTTCTTCATGACAACGCTCGGCCTCATGTCGCAAAAGTTGTAAAAAAATATTTTAAAACGCTTAAATGGGATGTTTTACCGCATTCGCCGTATTCTCCGGGCATTGCTCCTTCTGATTACTGGTTGTTCCAAAGGATGCAGCAGATTTGGCAAATCACCGGTTTACTTCTTTCGCAGAAATCGAAAATTGGCTCCAAACTTGGATCGCTTTTAAAGACGAGTCATTTTTTCGAAATGGAATTCGAAAATTGCCTGAGAAATGGGAAAAAGTAGTAGCCAGCGATAGACAATACTTTAATTAATCTGTTCATTCATTTTGTTTTGAAATAAATGCATTCTTGAACACAACAAAATGGACCGAACTAATTTGTACTCCCAATAATCTATTTATTCATTTTGTTTTAAAATAAATGCATTTTTGAACACAAAAAAACGGTTCGAACTAATTTGTACTCCCAATATATCAATATAAATATTATATATATCTATATAAATATTATATATTATATATAACAGCAGTATATTATCAATAAGAAATATGTATATATCATGTTACCACATTCAATGTTTCTATTTTTACTTAATTTACATGCATCAATCCATTGTTGTCTGATATACAAATCTTTTGGAAATGTATAAAACGACAAATGTTTAATTTCTGATTTAAAAATTCGACTTTTACAATATTGAATACAACAAGTCGGCATTTTTCTGTTTGAAAGTAAAAAATAGAACAGATACTAACAAATACTAACACGATTCTATGATTGACAGTTTCCACTACGTTGTCGCCATATTGCTTTAAGATTTTGGCCAAATCTCTGATTGGTTTCTACTGCGCATTTTTAGAATAACTCAATTGTTATTCTTACACCATGATTAATATAGTCAAAATAAATATTATTGATTAGATTAGGTCAAGTTAGATCAGGTTAGGTATCACACTAGTAATTTCTAACGCCTGTTTTCACCATCTCCGATTAACTTAATCGGCAATTAAAGTATCAGTCGTGATTGGTCCATTCTGCTAAACGATTAATGCAACTGGTAATTCCAATAGAATAATCGACCGATTAAGTTAATCGGAGATAATGGAAACGGGCGTAAAAGATGTTTCTACTTTGTTTAATTATTTTGGCCAAAACACTTGCACACACAAACATAAACACTAGTAATACATTTCTGTAAAATTAAACAATTGGTTAAAACAATTAATACATTAACAATTTTTTTATACATCATATATGTACTAAAGTAGAGAGATGTAGATTAATAATAATTATATTTACCATTTTGCAATAATTTGTGTATTTCAGCAGTATTATTTACTCTAAGTAGCGTTTCTGTATGTATATTAATACATTATATTTCTTCAATTTTTTTTTCAAAAAGTTGCGCTAAACTTCGCGAGCACGTAACCTGTTGTGATTAGAGAGTCTCTCAGAGAGAAAGTCGCAAACTCGTGACATCACAGTCGTTTCTGATTGGACAGAGGAAAAAGTTGCTTGCACAGTGACTTCACGAGTTTACGACTCTCTCCCTGAGAGGCTCTCTAGTTGTGATCAGTGAGCGAACTTGAAAACCGCAAATTTTATTCAACTGTTGTACAACAGTTGAGTTGTCTGAACGCACCTATAAATGTCTATGATTGAAGCAAGTAGGAGCACCTTATATAAATTTGTTCACATTGCATGTTCCAATCTTATGTCATTTTGTGTACGATAGCCTTTAACTATGGTCCATGGCAGACTGGCTAAATTGCGAAACGGAGTTAGTGTTACAACTGCAACAAATCAGTTGTGTGCTGTGATTTTATAGAATTATTAATTATTAGAATAACAATATAATTATGAAGTAGTCGAGACTGTACGATAAAATATTTTTAAAAAGCGTTTTGAAAGCATTATAAAAACGTAACATTTGTCTGAAATTTGACATGTCGATCGATCATAGCGGCAAAGGTTACACTCCTCTTCCACAAAGTATAAGCAATACCGATACAGAAGATGAGGAAGAACATTTAACACAATCCAATGATATTGTTTCTAAGGTCGATAATACTACGATAATACCGGTAAGATATTGATACACAATAAAATGCAAAAGTAATTATACGTTTATTGCTTACAAGATAATCATAGGATGCGTTCCGTTTCATGCATATGCGCGCATTTATCTATAGTACACGTTACATATACTATAGATCATGCGCGCAAGCAAATACATTAAACAGGACGTGTATATAAAAAGTATTGAGTGCTGTATATAATAAATGTAAATGGGATGATTAATAAGTATCCGAAACAATGCATAGATAGCGACAATAATAACACATTGCTGTTGTCATTAACAAGTTTCATCTTTCAAAAGAACAAATGTCAAATGCTGGCTCATTATTGCATGTAGTATTTGTGTAACAGCTAGCCACAGTATATTGATGATTTTATTGTTGTTTGAAAATTTCTTTTTACTGAACCAGTTTTCAGATTTAAAAATAAATAGAAATAACATAGAATCATATCTGACACATAAAGCAGATGAGGCAGCAATTTGAAGTCCAACTTATAAAGTTTAGTCATTACAATTAAAGTGTAAGCTTATCAAAATCACTGATAGTGTTTACTCGAGCAAGGTGTCACACAAACACTATGTGTGATAATGAGTTGGCATTTAATATTTGTTCTTCTGAACTTTAGAAGATGAAACTTGTTAATAACAACAGTAATGCGATGTCAGTGTTCATGCATCTTTTTAGATACTTATCAATTACTCAATATAGTATTAAAAAGTCCAAGATAATTACGCAGTTTATCTTTCTTACTTCAATTATTAGTAAAAGTATTCTCTATTTTAAATAATTGCATATTTTTATTTAGGAATCACATACAAACTATGAAAATGGCATCTTTTACCCCCTGGATGAAACAAAAAATCAAGAAAATAGCACAAGAATTCGGCAAAACACAGTTAAGTATTATCAAGATGATATACCAATAATGATAATTGAGGGAAATGAACAAGATGATTTTTGGAAAAGAAAAGAAATGTCACCTATGAGATGTTTCTGCTTGTTTGCATCTATATTATTATGCATTGTCACATTAGTTATTTTTTTGTACGAATTGCCATGTGACAGTTCTACTATTTGTCCATCAATAATGGAACCACAATCATCTATATCATGGGATAGAACTTTGCAAGGTGTAGGTAAGTTATGCTGCAAGTAACACTTATTGCGGTTATAAAGAAGAATGACTCTTTATATGTTCTTTAATAAAACAAACACTTGGAAAAAATAAATAAATTATTTTTACATGTGTATAATAGCATAGATTAAAAGTAAATAACATAGAAGTAAATAACATAAAAGTTTGTAATTGAAGTTTTTGATGAGGTTCGGTCGATTTTGCCGAAATATAGAAAATGACTTCAAATTTTGAGGATATGTTTAAGAAACCGATTCTTACACACCTAAATTTTTTCAAAATTTTTTACCATCTAGTTTTCGAGAAACGAAAGTGCGAATATCGCTATTTTTATACAGTAATGATTTTTAACAAGTTTTTTTTTCAAGTGTGAGGAAAGTGTCTTTTTATTATTTGCACAGTGATTCCTAAGTTAAAGAATGTTTTCCTAACTTATTATTTTTATATCTATATTCAAACTTGAAATATTGAAGTAATATCGCAAATTACGTATAGTATATATTGCAATATCACTTTAGTATCTTAAGTTTAAATATAAAGATAAAAATAATAATTTATGAAAACATTCTTTAAGAATTTGGAAATCACTGTGCAAAAAATGAAAAGACCTTTCCACAACTAAAAAGAAAATAATTGTTAGAAATCCAAAAAGACAGTGATGTGTAAGATTAGGTTAAAGAAAACATGGTAATAACACAATTCAGTTCAACAATCAGCTGTTTATTACCTTAGTTGTTTAAAATAGACAACAATAAGTTGTATATAACAAAGTGAAAATTAATAAATTTTACCAAATGTTAATATTGGTAAGGTATCATCCCAGCAAACACAGATACATAAACGTAACATTGCCGTAATGAAACGGAAAGTAACAAGTAATATAACGTGTTTGTTACATATAACGTTCACGTTAGTTGTAATTTCCCACTCATACTAAATTGCAGTTATATAATCTGACTAACATGTTACTAAAATATATTATAACATGTTACTAAAATGTTATATTACTGTTGCAGTAGTAACTGAAAGGTTATATACCAATTATATAGATTCCCGGCAAACAATTTGGTTGCGAGATGTCGCGGTTTTGTCGCCAACCGCCGGCGAAATTTGTAGACCAAATCTATATCCATCTGTGTCTTCATTAGGATATGGTTTGGCGACCATATCTGTCAAACATGTGAGATGTCAAAATGAGACCAAAATCATAACAAGTCTGCCACTAGCAAAGCAAAGCCAAAGTGACGCATCAAATCCAGAACAGATTTGGTGATCGTTTGTTGGCGCCAAAATCGCGCCAAATACACATCATATCTGTTACCAAAACTGTCAACAAAACAGTAGCAAATACAGACTAAATCTGCCGTTAGAAGCGCCGACAGATTGTTACCAAACGCAGATCAGATCTGTCCCCTAGAATCCAAGTGGAATTACTACAAAAAAAAAAAGAAAATCAGTGGTATATCGACTTATCGCAAGAGAATTAATTCGAGATTTCACTCGAATTAATTTCTAAAAGCCTGATTCAGCTCGTTGATCAACCGATGAACTCCATTGAAAGAGACCGAATCTGAAAAAATCCTAAATGTGATAGCGGGATTTGAACTCGAGACCTCCATATTCGCAGTTCCTGCACTCAATCCGCAACTCGAGACCACTTGTGTTCCTTACTAACATATAATTATTTTTATCTATTTATTCTCAAGCTATCCTACATTTAATTTATTATTTATTTCAATTATTATTTTACTAAAAATGTTGCAATGCAATGTACCTGCAACAATAAATAAAAATACTTTTTTTATTATTCTTAAATATAATTTAAAGAGAGTACATTTTTACAACGCGAATAAATGTTTTGTTAATATATGCTGATACTTGAATAAACAAAGTGTTTTTTAATGAATTTTTGGTCACTGAAAACGAATCCGGCGGCGAAATTGATCTACCACGTCAAATTTCTGAGAAAATTAAATGTATAACATACTGTTTATTAGCTTGAGAAAGAGCATATCAGTGTATCTCATTCGCACTAGTGGACATTGTGTTACACAATGTCGACTGTACGTAGCTGGAAAGCACTCATTGCTTCATATTACTCAACAAATACGAGAATAATACATTAAATTTATGATTGCTTCATTGCCGAATGCGTATAAACAGAAGTATTAAAATTTTACAGTAGAACTTTACCGGTTCCAGTATAAGTTAACAGTTAATGCCCGCATAAACAAGGTCTAACTGTAAAAGACTGTTCAACGTTTGTTAACAATCTGTTATCAACACAGGCGACAGATATGATCGCAGATAATCGTCATTTTGTTGTCTAAATGTCAAACAGACAGTTTAGTAGTCTTGCGTGCTAACAGTCCGCACATATACACGAACAGATCTGCTTGGCAATCTGTCGTCAATGCGTTCAACAGATCGACCCGACTGCGGTCAACGTTTTGTCATAAACAGATGCTGATACGGTTTTGCGGACTGTTTGGTCACAGTATTGCTAAAGCAGATCTGCTTGCTATCGACCATCTATTTGTTATCAATTTCACTAACATATATGGAATCATTTTGGCCGCAATAGTCTCATGTATGTGCCAACAGAGTTGTTGCGTTTTTTGTCTCTATGTGCT